TTTTGAAAAACAAAATAAATAAAAAATAATGCCTAAAGTACAAGGACTAATCCGATAAAAAATATGCTAATATTGCATAAGTACAACTTAATAAAGCTCCATGTTTAAATTGGTATAACTAAATGTAAATAAGCATAATCAAATACATGATATACATCTCATTTTAAATATAAAAAATCTAAAACATAATTAGAGCTCATTGAGTTCTAACAGAATAATTAATTATTATCTTTATAAACAGTTATATTATTAAACCAAAAATAAGTTACTTCGTTATTAAACATAAATTAAATTATAACAAAAAATATGTATTAAATAAATTACATAAAAAAAACGAGAATTTTTAAATAATTATGTTGATACTAATATGACATATATTTTTTTTTTCAAATTTTATCATATCTGCAAATTTATATTTTGTTCAAAAATAAAAATATTATCACTTTTTAAAAACCACATAAAACCGTATTATATTGTTCAGAGACAAAGAATAAAAGGAAATATGTATATTATGCGAGTATTTTTCTAATGATTTAAAAAAAATTAAATGGTTTGGTGAATTATTTATTATTTTGTTTTATATTTTTAACTAATAAAATAAATTTGAATTACCCTTATAGTAGGGTAAAAGTAAGCCATGATTAAATTATCTTTTTATTATAAATAAAAGTTAGGTGGTTTTAATAAATAGACATTTTAATATATAATAAAATAATTTTAATCTACATTTTTATTACTTCATTTTAAAAAAAATATAGAAATTGGGTAACAACATAAATTAATCAATCAAATGGCTTTTGTCCTAACTGTTTCGTAGTCTTTGTGAGGTCAAAAGTTCAAACTTTACCAAAGATGAGAAGGATGTGTGAGTTTATTTATTGCATTTACCATACATAAATATTATATACTTAAAAAAACATAAATTAATTAAAGTTTTCAATTATATTTGACGTTGCATTCGAACCAAACTGTTCATTTGTCATTCTTTAAACTAGATTTAAATTAGGTTATACGAGTTAACTGGTTGAATCCTTAATTGATTCCTGCCATTTAACGTCATAACTGATATCTTAGAGTAATCAGTCTCAGTTATAACCGTTGCAAGAAAAATGTTGTAAATGATTGTGACCAAAGATCCCTCATAACTAGTTGGGTTGAGCGGTCTTCAACAATTCTTATTTATTATAAATTAAAATATTATTTAACTATTTATTTATTATAAATTAAATAACTCTTTCTTTTTACCTTTTTACCTTTTTTTATTCTTTACTAAAAGTATATATTGGATTTTAATATTTTATTTATTTAATTATAAATATAAAAAAAACAAAAAAAAAACATACAAATTTGTTTTAGACCGTCTTAGTTACAGTAACCGGTTATAGAAGCCCTGATGGTCACCCAATCGCTTTTTCCGACTCCTTGAGTAGTTAGACTGGCCGGTTGCATGATCACCAATCTAATAGTTTACTCCAAACCTGATTACAGATCAAACCCAATTACTGTTCAACGGAACAGGTTATGTGACCACAGTTAAAGTTGCCCATCTGTAGCCTTGGTTCGCCCTTTACCTTGTCATGTCAGAAACATAAATTAACCAGATCAAACGTTTTTCAGACGAATCTATATAGAACTTTACTTAACTGTATTTGGCTGACATAGTGGTTAATATAATATCTCTTTTTACCAAAAAGGAATAGAAATATTGGTTAATATAATTTATTTATTTATTTATTTATAATAAAAAAGAGAAGTATGAGCTTATATAGGTATGGTGGGACAAAAGAATTGCATCTCATCCCTTAATGGGGAACAAAGAGGTACAGGTGAACCTTCTTGCTAGTGCTACAAGTCCAAGGTATCCATATTCAAATAATTAGACAAGATAATATATATATATATATATRTATATATATATATATAGGGTAAGTTCAAATGAGAATATTATTAAGTTTACGTAAACATGCATATCACATTTTATGCTCTAGTTTATCCATATATTAAATCAGAGATATGGGTTACCTTCGATGTGACATGAGGCCTAATCGTCTGCACGTCACCAGGTCCTTTGTGTGTATGTGATATGTTTGTTCTCACATTTTCGTAAAAATGTGATGTTCCGGTCTGAACCCACTCATATGTAGGGTTAGGTTTTTGTGAGAATGAAAGTTAAGGTGAGAAGTGTAATAAGGGATCTCCACCATTTGGATACACATTAGGATGAGATGCACCGGATCAATCCTCGTATCAAGCGCAATTTATGGGTGAACTTGAGATTAAAGGTGATCAAGGGTCCAGATCTCTTCTCACGTTTCTCATCTTAACTCTACTTCTACATGATTCTTCGTCACACATATATATATATATATATATATATATATATATATATATATATATATATATATAGGTTCAGTTGCAAACTTAAGTTCCATTGTGAATGGAAGGACAAAAATAAAGCACACTATATGTCCCAAACGTCATGTGATGTTCATCCCGAATGACGTAAAAAAATTCAATTTCATTATTCATGATGAATGGGAACAAATACAGACACATGTTACGCTCTCTTTTGTCCCCCCAGTTCACAACAGAAAACAGACTTGTAACTGAACTTTCCTCTTTCTTTTTCTTTCTCTAAAAACAGAGAAACATCATAATAACCATTCATCTGTACGATATGCACATGTGCATACAAGTAACTGAAGCTATCTCCTGGTTTCTATGCATTGCCTACCTGAAAAAATTACTTGTATGTATGTACATACCGTACAGATAAATGGTTATTAAGATGTTTATCAGTTTTTACAGTTTTTCACTTTATCGTGGCCCCCATCCCCCTCTATATATATATTCTGTGTGGTTGGAGAGAGGGGAATTTTGTGTTGTCTTTTTTATGATTCTTGAAGCCAATGATTATGGTTGTCTAAAGCAATGGAAATAGCAACATTAGAAGTGGTAGCAAAAGGCAGTCAGAAAATTATTCTACAAACGAATTTTAAAAAAATAACCGAATCATATCACAATTTTCTACCAAAAGCCAGATATCCCTCACCTGTTAGATTGAGCCAATTAAGCATTTAAATGCATACCCTTTTGCTTTATTTTCCTCTATTTACTTCCTCATGCGAATTTTTCGTTAAACCTACCATAAGTTCCATCAACTCGTCTTAACGAGAATTCAGATCAAACAAACCCAGTATATATCCCACAAGAACAAGAAGATAGGGTGTGGAAAAGTAAAGAGAAATAAGATCAAACAAACCCAGAATATCCCAAATATCAAGAAGATACGATTTGGGAGGGTAACGAGAAACCAGATCAAACAAACCCAATATATCCCACCAGAAGAACAAGAAGAATGGGTCTGGGAGGGTAAAGAGAAATAAGATCAAACAAACCTAGAATACCCCCACGGAAACAAGAAGATAGGATCTGGGTGGGTAAAAAGAAATCAGATCAAACAAACCCAATATATTCCACTAGAACAAGAAGATACGGTTTGGGAGTATATCCCACCAGAAGAACAAGAAGATAGGGTTTGGGAGGGTAACCAGAAACCAGATCAAACAAGCCCAATATATCCCACCGGAAGAACAAGAAGATAGGGTCTGGGAGGGTAAGAAGAAATAAGATCAAACAAACCTAAAATACCCCCACGGAAACAAGAAGATAGGGTCTGGATGGGTAAAGAGAAATCAGATCAAACAAACCCAGTATATTCCACCAGAACAAGAAGATAGGACCTAGGAAGGTAAGATGTATGCAGACCTTATATCAGTTGAAAGTGAAAGAGATACTATTTCCAAGCATGGTAAAGAAATGATGAAATTTACCCTTTTCAACGGTTGGAAGATCGTGTATTTGAGTCATGAAAACAACCTCTTTACAAAAGGCATAACATCAACTTCTCTCTTTATGATTTCTAAAGCTAAAGAAATCTTGATGCATACCGAAGATTCTATAGCAATAAATGGAGAATTTTATGCCACCAACTAACAATGATGAAAGATGAAAAAAGGTCAACCAAGATACAAAGGGATCAACCTGGTTCAAATGCGGTGACTCCGGGCTATCTGCAAAGCAGGTGGTCGCCCTGGGATTAGTCAGCTCGCATAGCGGGTTGGATATCCAGGTTAATCAAAAAAAAAATCTAAAACCTCACCAAAATTCAAGGGAACATTATCTTTTTTAGAATACCAACCGGTAGAACGCTTGTTTTTTTGGTTACTGTGGATGTCCATGCTAGCTTGCACACACCTTGACTAATTCCCCGGGGCCTGAAGCTAACAGTCAGAAAAATCTCAGTCCTAGTGGTCCTGAGGGGACTCGAACTGACTATCTATGGATAGAATGATTGGTTTATAAACTAGAGCCAAGTACAATGGTTATAAAATGTCAATCTGTAAACATAATCATACCCTTTTAAAAGAACATGAATATAACTTAAAAGACGCGTAACTTTTATTCGTTATGAAGGATTCTCCATCAATCTAGGCAAGATTATACTCTCTCCGTCTTAAAATATATGTCCACATTGAAAAAGATAAACAGTTTTTAATTACAACGCTTTTCAATTAACTAAATGACATTTTTATTAAGGGTAAGCTTGTACACATGCTTCTAGAGCTACTCTATTAGCTACGGCACTGGATGCATTTACTTTTGAAAGTGGATACTCATTTTGGAACAAACTAAAATAGAAATGTAGACACTTCTAACACAATTGTTTAGAAATGCAATCATCACCACCCCAAAAACACGAATAAAACTAAAAAGCACAGGCGGGTAACGGGTTATGTAGTCCAACTTCTCATCAAAAAGGAAGTACGTTTTTAAATATACCCTTAAAACCAAATCAAACAAACCTTGTATATCCCGCTCATGGAGGGGTGGGATTGGCTATTTTAAATATACCCGTGTTCTACTAAAACAATGTCACAACCTTATAACATGCCTGCATAGAATCATAATCATTTTTCTTTCCAAAATAACATGAATAAACTCAAAGACGTGATTTTGATAAAAACAACAAGGGTTCTTGATCAAAAGAACATGAATATAACTCAAATATGTGATTCCGATAAAGCACCCAAGGATTCTTAATCAATTTAACATAAATTATGATCAAATGACACCTAATAGAATGCATACCTCTACGTTTAGCAGTCAATCTTCTTTGTAGTTGAAGCAGCAGAAGACACTTGATATCCTTCCACAAACCTTCTAAACTTCTCCACTTCACCAACAGCAGAAAGCCAATCATTTAGAATCTCCATGGTTACGTAATCAGGATCACAAGCCTGATTTGTCATCTGATCCATAAGTATCAGTGCTTCTTTCAACCTCTTTGTGCTAGAAAGCCCTTTTAGCATTGCATTATATGTGGTAGTATTTGGCTTAACACCCTTCTGTAACATCATATCCATCATAGAAAGAGCGCGGTCTACTTTCCCATGCATGCAAAGAGAGTCAATCAAGATATTGTATATAACGGTATTTGGATGAACCTTTGAGGTTATGAGCATTTCGTTGAAAATATTCATGGCCTCATCAAGATTCCCAGCTAAGCAATATGCATGAATGAGGGTACCGTAGGTGACTACTGTAGGGATATTTCCGTCATTTATCATCTGTTTCAGGAACTTATGAGCTGTCTCGAAATCCCCTTCTTGGCTGAAGTATGAAATCAGAGTATTGTAAGTGATACCATCGGCTTTCATCCCACTTTCTTCCATTTCTTTAAGGATCTCAACGGCTTTATCAAGTTTCTTTCTCCTACAAAACCCGCCAATTAAAGTGTTGTAACTCACAAGATCGAGTTGAAATCCGGCTTTTTTCATCTTTGAAGCGATAAAACTAGCATCATCTGGTCTTCCAGCCTGAGTCAGACCAGAAATCAAACTGTAATAAGAAACTGCATCAGGAGAGCCTACAGATTCCATTTCTTCAAACAGATTCATTGCTTTTTCGATATTATTGGAGCTGCAAAAGGCGGAAATCAATGTAGAATAAGTAACCACGTTCCCTTCAATACCCTTTTCTTCTTGCATTTTCCTCAAAAACTCCATTGCATTACCGATCCTTCCATGCTTACACATTCCATCCACCAGGGTGTTTACTGTTATCACAGTTGGATCCACACCCTCCTTGTTCATCTGATCAAAAAGCTCGAGAGATCGTTCAATCTCACCAGCTTTACAAAACCCGTCAATCAAACAGTTGTAAGTTATAGCATTGGGGATACAATTATCTTCCAACTTCATCTTTCCCATTAACAACAAACCTTCTTCTTGCCTTCCCACTTTGCATAAACCATCAATCAGAGTATTATATAGAATCACATCCGGTTTAATGCAGATTCCATCAATTCCTTCCCTCGTCTTCTTAAACATATCTAATGCTTCATCTACCCTACGAGACTTGCACAAGTGATTCACTAACATCCCAAATGTCACAACATCCGGTTTGATATCGTTCTCCTTCATCTCCTTTAAGAACAGATTTATTCGGTCATAGTTTCGCGCTCTCCCCAACCCCGACAAAAGAGCATTACAAGGTGCAACTTCAACTTTCCCAAACTTCATCAACTCATGCAACAAGTCCCAAGCCTTATCATTTCTATAACTCCTACACAACTTTGTGATCAACTGAGTCAACCAAATGTTACTAGGAAACAGACCATGTATCCCAAATTTCGGAACCAAACCCAAGATTCTCTCATTCTCATTCCCCAAATTCCATCTCAATAACGCTGGTAAAATAATGTTTAATGTAACTTCATTGGGGGGAAACTTAACATCTGCTTCAAGCATTTCATCGAGCAGGTTGCGTGCATCATCGAATCGATCCGATTTCATCAACAAATCAAGTAATGTGTTCTTTATACTAATGGTTCTCGCATCTGGGTCTAATCCGGCATACACTAGGACGGCATTTTGAACTTTTTTGACACGAAAAAAGTATCTCATTAAGAGGGTTGCTGAGTGGGGTGTGAGGGAGACCTTTAGTTCCTTGGAAAAATCAAGTAAATTAACCACGGAAACCTCATCTTCTTCACGTATTGCAAGCTCAATAACAGATTGGAATACGGAAGATAACGAAGGTGGAGATTGATTACCATGAATGAAATGGAAAAATTTAAGAGCTTTACTGGAAGTTCCCAACTGACGAGCGATTCTGGGAAGAGAGTTAGCCGGCAGAGAGAGTAGTTGTTGACGGAGATTGGTGTCGCTAGTCCAATCATGAGTGGTCTTCAGATTGGTAATGGCGGATTGAGTCAATTCTTCTTGTGACGGTGGTTGTATTGAATCAGGCGCGACGGAGAGACGGCGGAGATGGGTGGTTGTTGAACATTTTTGGGGTTTAAGAAGGCGATGAATGCATTCTTTCGAAGCATGTATTGGAGCCTTCATTGTTGCGGAATTGGATTGTACTGAAGGTAGGATCAAAGTATCAGAAATTTGACTGCAAAATCTTCGATTGCTGGAGAAGAAAAGCTCAGTCTGAAAGACTACTTGATTTTTGCATTTCAATTTTTTTTTAAAATTGCATGAAAAAAAAATTAATTTAACTTGATTTCTATTTTTATTTATATCTATACTATATTATAAAACATTTGACAAAAACTCTTAAAAACCATTTTTTATTCATGAAGTACTGTTTACTGATGCATATTACTTAAAATTTAATATTACAAGTAAATTATGCATACATATAACTTATTAAAGCTCCATATTTGAATTAGTGCAACTAACTGCAGATAAATATAATCAAATATTGGATAAACATCTCATTTTAAATATAAAAAATCTAAAATTTAATTAAGATAAACATAGAGATGTAACAAAATATTTAGTTATTGTCTTTTTAAAATATTATATTATTAAACATAAATTAAATTATAATTAAAAAATTAATTAATAAAATTACACGAAAACATAAAAACTTTTAGAAAGATTGAATTGATATTTTTTTTAAAAATTTATGATATTTTTAAATTTATATTTTATTCAAAAATAAAAACATTATCGTTTTCTCAAAAGCATATAAAAACATATTCTATCGACATAAAAAACAAAACACTTAAATCAAGATGTGTCTCGATGCATTGCACGAGTACCCCTTCTAGTTTTAGATAATGTATCTTCAAAACTTTCATTTTTATACCTAAAATGTAAAGTTTTAAATATTTAAGTATCCGGATATATGTTTAAACTTTACATCTTATGTACCAAAATAAAAGTTTTGAAAATATGTTACCTAAAATTAGAAGCAAGTTAAAGTACGTACTTTTTTTATTATTTAAAATGAAAAATATAAAGGAGGCCATAAAAACCAAAACCCCAAATTACAAAATATAAATATATCACCTAACTTCTTGAAGCAAAAATATCAATTACTTTTTCATATTCAAAATTCGCTAAAACTTTACTTTCAATACTCAAATTTTCTAACCCGTTTAGCGTTTTTTGACTCATGATAGGCTGCAAATATGACTTCAACGACTTTAGCTTTGAAAAACTTCTTTCAGCAAATGCTACCGTGACGGGTACAGTCATCAAAACCCTATATACAAGCAACATATTTGGAAACACATCAATCTTTTTGCAAATTCCAAATTCTCAATTGATGTCCAGGCTTTTCTCATTTATATGTTTTCAATGGTAATATTACCTGCAAAATTTACAATTCCATAAACAAATAATTCTCATCAATATCACAATCATCACCATTTGTTAATGCAACTTCAAGATTCATACAACAGTTTTTCAACTCGTCATCATTTAAATAAACCAACCTTGACCTATCAAACAAGAAACCAAAAATCAATTTAAAAGTTTTCGTTTGCTATGTTATAATTTAGAAACAAAATCATACGTTGGTTTGAGAAACAATGCAATCGACTTCCATAGTTACAGAATTCAGATTTGAAGAAATACAAATGCAATTAACTGTATCTAGATTTGAAGAAATACAAATGCAATTAACTGTATCTAGATTTGAAGNAGATTTGAAGAAATACAAATGCAATTAACTGTATCTAGATTTGAAGAAATACAAATGCAATTAACTGTATCTAGATTTGAAGGATTGAGTTTTGAGAAACAATGAATGATTGAGATTTGAGAGTTCAGTCGACAATCGTGTATTCGAGTATATATATAGTCGGGGGCAGTCGGCAATGCATCGACTGATCATCAAGATCGATCCGTCGTCCCATGTTGGGATGCTCAAAAACCCGATCAACTCAATTCAGCCCAACGCGAAATAACTCAACCTGGAGCAACCTGATGTCTAATTGAGTTGTAAGATTTTCAAACTGTAGGTATTGTGCTGATATTGGGTTACTATGGTTACTATTATTTGAACTCAACCTAACCCGATGAAACCGATATTCTTTTATTTCTTTGATTTAATATGATTGTTGAATTTCTATTAATATATATATATATATATACAGAAGACAATTACACTATCACGTATGCTCTTCGTATACACATATTTTCAATCTATTCACATCTCTATATAACTCATTTGTATATATGTTCAGTAAATGTGAACATATATATATATATATATATGTATATTGAGAAATTTAACTGAATGTGATATACGTAAGAAGTATGGATAAATTGTATCAAATGGTTGACAATGAAAAAAATTATGAGTACAAAAAATAACATATTCAAGGTTAAAAGAATATTTTAATGTACCAAAGTATCAATCCGACCAACTTGTACGGTTTGGGTTGGATTGGGTTAAGATTTTTCAAACTGCAAGCATTGGGTTGGGTTGGGTTGGGTTGTTCAAATGTTTTCAACCCGATCAACCCAACCCACGAGCACCCCTATTCACATGGACAATTGTTAAACTCGTTATCGTCAATCGTCTTCCTTTGGAACTGGAACGTCATCGTCGAAAATCGAAAAAGTCTAAACACTCATAGAACAACAGAAATCGTCAATTTCAAACCGCCAAAGTCAATCGTCTTGTGAACTATGATGCGTCTATCTTATTGTCACAGATTCAAGTCCTCGTGTTTGTTATTGACAGGCCTGATCAGTTGGGTCTCTGTTTGTAATTAAAGGTCAAATCTCAAATTATTAAACCCCAAAACTAATAATATATCAAAATTTGATGCCCCTTTGGTGCAGGTAGTTCGCATTTTCATAGATATGTCTTTTTCACCGAGTCTTTCTCCGAGACAATGCCCAGATCGTTACGCCTTTCGTGCTGTTATTTACATTATCAAGCCATAAACTGGGCCTGAGCTGAGTCCGATTCGGATTGTTGTTTTTGTACCTATTACAATTATTTTTAATAGAATTTCAAAGCTTGGCACCGATTTTTCACAAAAAAAAAAAATTCAAGATTTTATCTATTTAAATTTTAAAAATTTATAACGTCTTTCAATATTAAATTTTAGAAATTGTAACTATAAAAACATGTATAATATTTTTTAAAAATATTTATTTTAAAAACCGGGTCGGGCTCGAGACGTTTTTCACAAGGACCGATTAGGGACCGGTCCAGGACCATTATTCTATCTCAAGGTGTGAAATTTCGATTTATTGGGCTTCAAGGCCCAAAGAAGTTTCATTAATGGGCTGAGGTTGGCCCAAATAAAAAGCCCAAATCGTAAAACCCTTGTTCTTCATCTTCTCAGGCTAAATCTCCGATTCACACACACAGACACAGACAGAGAGGTAAACTTGTACGGTCGCTAAATCAATCAATCGGTCTCTGATAATTTTTCCACCAGTTTGTGTGAAGAAAGGTGTGATTCGAGAAGGTTCCTGTAAGAGGAAGATATGCATAGATCGTGTAGAGGTTTAGCTCGATTTGTGATATCAAATCGAGGGTTTTGCACATCATCATCAAAAGGTGCTGGTAATGATAAGATTGTAGCATCTGTGCTCTTCGAGAGACTTCCGGTTGTTATTCCGAAAATCGATCCCGCCGTCTACGTTTTTCAGGAATTCTCGTTAGTATTCTATATCCTTCGATTTATATGTATTAGTATGCACATTACGTAAACAGAAAAAGATGCCAAATGAGTTGGAAATTCAGGGTTCTCTTTTGGATTTTAGGATTAAGATGAAATGGATTAGTATTTAACTGCAGAATTGGTATGAGTTGTTGTTGTTGGATTGGAAGAACGGACAGGTACTTCCATTTGTTAAAAGGGTGTTAGTAGAGAACGAAAAAGAAGTTGATGCGAATTTGGATTCTGATTAATAGAGAATGAAATAGAAACTGATGCAAATAAGGCCATCTGTATGCTTCATTATTTTTTATTTTGGGATAGGGGAGAAACATTCGAGGTTGTCGTGTGTGGTTGCTCAATCGTGGAGCTTGTTATAACTTCCATTGATGATGGTGTAATTGAATATGTGATTGTGTTTATTTTCTCTGAAGTAATGTGTATGTTGTCCCGAAATTGTGTAGCTTTCGTTGGAGACAGCAGTTTCGTCGGGCATATCCTGAAGAGTTCCTTAAAAAGTCGGATACTAGGTAAGTTTGTGCAGTAGTTGACATTTCTTGATTAGTTTATATTATTCTATTCCCCATTTCCTCTTGAACGATTTGGGGTTTATTGTTAATGTTGTTCCTGCACTTATGGCCTTCTCAAGTTTAGATATACTGTCTTACGTCATTTGAAAGATTTCAATGTTTTTGTTTTATTTGATGTGGTGTGAGGATTAATAGAGATGTTTTCTGCATCCTGTGTGCTGCAAATAGACTTATGAGATCCACACAAAGATATAGGACAGGGAATTCAAGTAGTGTAAACAAATTACAAATCATCTTAGTTTCTTAGTATCTGGTTCTTTGGTTCCTGTTTGTTAATATGCTTACTAACTGAATTTTAATTTGAAGTCCAAACCGGTCAAAGTTTAGTTTCCATGAAACAAAATAAACCAGAATCATCTGCTTCCTACTCATACATGTTGTAACTTTATTAAAAACAGACCACCATTACCAAACCGTATATAGCTTACCTGGTTCACCTTAAAAAGTGCCACCGGTTCAACATTTGTGGTTGGCTGTGTTACATAAATTACATGGTATCAAAGTTGTTAAAGGCTCAAGGTGCACTTAGGTGCTAAGGGACGAGGCCTAGGCGTCAGCCTTAGGATTGCATGGCGTATCTCATAACACACACACACACACATATATATATATATATGTATATATATATATATATATATATATATATGCACACACACACACGGTTACACATGACACAACTCGAACGCATTATAATTAAACATAGTTCAACTTCAATTTTCGAATAGCATTATGTTCAATAAAGTCCTAATCGGTAGTCACTTCAATCCTCATCATCATCGGATTTATACTCCTCAATACTCATCATCATCATCAAGAGCGAATATGAGTAGGGGTGTACGCTCGTTGGGTTGGGCGGTTTGAGACATTTAGACAACCCAACCCGTCTCGTTACAAAATGTAACCCAGTCCAGCCCTTGTTGGTTGGGTTGGGTTGGTGGGTTGCTACCATTCTTAAATAAGTACTACCATTCTTAAATAAGTACGTGTCTTCAATTTTTGGTAACTTACGAGTATTGTGCATTGCTCCATTTAATTCTATACATATAACAAATAGGTAATATTAATTATCGATGCACATATACATACAACAAAAGCGTGCTTGCAAAAGATGAAAATATGTTTACATACCAACACTAACCAAGAGATGCATACGTACGCATTTATATAATTATATATTGCTTAGTGTCACACATCTGTATGCATAACTTAATCCAATTCTTTTGTTGCTATTAATTTTACAGTAGATAGCAACATCTAATTGGAAAATGAGACAGGCAAAAAATAGAGAAATGGTGCTCTGAAAATGATCAAAAAACGAGAATGAGGCTCAAAGTAGGTAAATATAAATAAAATTATATATTGTATAATATAAATAAAATTTTATCGAAATTATATATTAGCGGCAGGTTGGGTTGATTTAGGCCTACCCAATTTCAACCCAAGAATTGTCGATTTAGCGGGTTGGGTTTAATTGGGTTGTTTGCGGGTTGGGTTGGGTGGGTTGTGGCGGTTTTTTTGTACACCCCAAGTGAGGAGGTGATTTTGGTTTTGGATGTATTTTTAAGGGATTTAGTACATTAACCATGGGAGGATGATGTCTTTTTTGTAGAAGTCTAGAAGATGAGAAGACTTAATTTAAAAAAAAACATAGAATTTTAGTCTGATTTATGTGGTGGGCTAGGCCCAAAAGGCGCCTCACCTCGACTATAGAAAAGCCCAACCGCTTGCGCCTAGGCGCACCTTTAACAATTATGCATGGTATTCACAATGCACTGATATAATTACCTTATGGCGTGTTCGGTAAACGTTCAATCACATGAATTCTTTGTTTTCTTTTTGTCCACTCAAAAGTCATACTGACTATTGATATATTTGAATCTTCCTGCATATTGTTCTTAATAACTTAGGGCCAAATTTTCCCCTTCCGCTCACCCACTTATTGTGATGCCATAACATTTGTACTTTTCATCAGGGGTAAGGGCGAATACCAAATTGATTTTGTACCAGCTCCTAGGATCACTGAAGCYGACAAAACAAATGATAAAAGGTACATTTAATGATTTTCCCGCTTATGTTCATGTACCACATGTGCAACATGCTATACAAAGTGATTCCTAGATCATAATTGATACTATGGTCGTTTGTCCTGCTTCTTACATTTTTCTTTATGTGCTTTTTAGTTCAATTTTTCTATATAATACCGCTTAATGTAACTCATGGATTCGGTACTTTCAAGACTTGACATTGATGTTTGGCAACTAACGGTTTTAGTGAATCTGTACTCGATAAATTTATATAGCCTAGTGAATATTCTTTGTTAAGTTTATATAAATATAGCCTTTGGTGAGGTTTGAGCCCTTGATCTCCTGGGAGGTTGGGCTCTACAGGTAACCCAAGTACCCCTTAGTTAATGGCTCTATTGTTTGTATGCGTTCTTCTTCTTGTTATAAAGGATCATTGTTTCCTATGATGGTTCTCGATTTGAGTTAAAGCTGAGAGAATTTAATGGAGGACATGAAGGGTTCCCCTTCCATTTTTTTTCTAAAAAATTATTTACAACAAAGAAGAATTTATGTCTAATGGGGTTAGATTAGCCATTTGAGGGCAATCATTACGAGTAGCTAATAAATACTCCCTCTGTCCCAAAATAAGTGTCCAAATTTCAGTATTTAGCTTGTCCCAAGATAAGTGTCCACCTTCAAAACTAAGTCTCCATTTTCCAATTTTACCCTTAATTATAAGATGGAGAAATTCAATACTTCTATTATTAAGGGCAAAAAAGTCAATTTAATTAAAAAGTGTAATAACTACATGTTTCTAAAACGGCGTGCCTTTTTCGTTGTGGACATCTATTTTGGGAGTTGGGACGGAAGCAGTATTAGATGTTGGCGAGTGTTTATTACCGAGGCTAGCCTTTTTATTCTTTAGTGCCAATTTGATCAAAATTTGGTACTCTCTCTTAAAGGTCATTGCAAAGAGCTCTTGACAGAAGGCTATATCTTCTTCTTTATGGTGACGCATATGGTTCTCCGAAAGGGCAGCCCGTATGGCACTTCCCTGAAAAAGTTTACAAGTCCGAGGAGACGCTGCGCAAGGTAATTGTGTAATCTGCTTGGATACTCCCATCAATATTGTAGTCTTTATAAGTATATACTCCCTCTATTCCAAAATAAGTGTTCACATTTCTATTTTACTTTGTCCCAAAATAAGTATCCACTTTCATAAGTGCATACTTTTCAATTCTACCCTTCATTATGATATGGAGACATTCATTGTTCCCTCTATTATTAATGGTGAAATTGTCATTTAGTTGATTACAGAGTGTAATAATTACATACTTCTAGAAGTGTGTTTTTAATTGTTGAAATTTGTTTTGGGATGGAGGGAGTAATTTTTATATATATATATATATATATATATATATATGTATATAGGGGCGAGTTCAAATAAGAAGACTAAATATTGTTAAGAAGGTAAGGTTCATATGTGAATCATTGAAAGAATCCAGTTGAAGAAATACATCTTCAAATGGATTCTTTCAATGATTCACATATGAACCTTCAAATAACCTTCCATTCTTACCTTCTCACCATATTTACACTACATACATATAGGGGTGGTTTATTTTGCAAACCATACAAACTATCTACAATCATTGATTTTATAGATTAAGGGCTAGAATTAATTGAGCTTATTTATGTAAATAAAGAAGAAAAAATTATAGGCTTGATTAAAGAAGAGAGCACCGAAGAACAATATGGGAAAATGAAATTGTAGTGTAAACTGGGTACCGCGGGGCCAATGACCCTTTGACAATATTGTAGTGTTTCTTATAATAAACCATTTGTTTAGTGTGCAGAGTCTGCATTAGAATCTGTTATCGGAGACCTATCTCATACATACTTTGTCGGTAACGCTCCAATGGGCCATATCGCAATGCCGCCTAAGGACAATCCATCTTTTACGGTATGTCATCTACTCTATTTTGTGTCGTTTAATCGCATGATATGCAAATCTATAACAAGATCCAATACTCACCACCATGGGCAGAACCAGAGGCAGTTCATATCTTTTTTGAGTGGTGGCACTAAATAATTACCGTAATATAAAATTAAATAATAATTAATATAAAATATATTATAATATAGTTATAAAACAAAAATTAATCACGGTTACAAATTACAATATAAAACACTAACAAATCGTCACCAATTGTACAGTTGGTGTTTTTTTGTTCCACCACCGTTAACCATTAAAACTCAAATTGAGGCTTCGATATGTTACTGTAGTCTGTCAATGTTTTGATGACTATGCCCAGTGATAGCACAAAACAAATCACAGTGGTAGCACCGTTAAGGGTCAAAAAGAAACTACATTACGATGGAATACTCAGTGGTAGTCTACTAGTCTGTGCCACCACTTCCTTACAAGTAAATTCGCCCCGAGGCAGACACAGTGAGGGCAATATTAACAAGATTTGCATATGGCACTTGGGGGCTGTTTGGTTGGTTTTCCGTTAAGTCCAATATGGATAAAAGGTATCCGTGTGGATTAATCTGTCTGTATACATTAGAAAGGTTTTGTTTGGGAGGGCTTTTTTGTAGGTGGAATGAGCATGTTTTTTTAATTGGGAAAGGCAGGTTTCAAAAACACAAGGCTTTCTGCATAAAGCTTCCTCTAGAAGCTTACTACATAAGCCACTTTTTTTATCATTAAGCCACTACCAAACCGAATAAGCTGTGAGTCCCATTAAGCTCATTAAGCTGCTAACATACATGCGCTTAATGCCCTTACATCAGCTGGTTATCATTTGTGGCACTCATAATATGTTGTATTACTTAAAAGTTTACCTTTCTTCCTCCCATCCCATAATCTATGGTTATCATAATCTTTTTTCTTCTTTTTTGTAAAATATATAAGTAGATAATAGTCCAAAAAACATAAAAACCAATGATATTATATTGTAATATTCCGGTCCCCGGATTTTTGTAATATCATTGTTTGGCCCCGGTGATGAATTGATGATACATTAATGTGTAACGAGCTCTCTTTCTCTCCCTCACTTTTTGGCACCAAAAGCCCGTCACATGGATGATATGGATTTTTTTGATATGGTTACCCACTTCTTTAACGTTCTTATGTGAGAGAGAGCGGGGAAGAGGGTGAAACGGGACCAATTCTTTCTTGAAGTATATATTTATGTAAGACAAAACTCTAGACCCCTCCTCACCTTCGGTGGGTCTTGAACCTTTGACTTTTAAGGAGATTGGGATTTACTTTACGGGTAACCTGGATGCTGGTGGGGCAATGGCTGAATGTAAAAATACTATAAGGCTTAAGGTTAATTATGAGCTTATTTTATATGTCTAGTGTACTATTTGGGGTAGATATCAAGTTTTTCTACATTGTACACCACCCACCCTCGAGTGGTAGGTTGGTCTGGTCTGGTCTAGTCTAGTCTGGTGTACAAACTATGAAAGATGATTTCTTTCTTTACCGGTTTGGCTCTCGGCCTCCACACATATATTAGACAATACTATATGTATATAACCATTGAAGTATATGTTTGGCGAACTGTCTGAAAAGTTAAGCTATTAGCTGATAAGCTAGATGACAATGTAAAATGACCTAAAATGACATGTTGGAAAACTAATTGGACATATAAAGGGCATAATTGGTAAAAAGGTGAAAAAAACCTTGGAGCTTATTGAAACACTACTTGAAGTAGCTTCTTAAAACACTAGCTTATGGTTGTCAAACATGGCTTTATTTTTGCGTTTCTGGTTCGTTATCGATTAGGTAACTCTTCTTACAAGTTTTTATCGCTCGATTTGTTTTGTGGTTTCAGAGGTTCTTCTTTAAATCTCAAGTGATTGCGACAAATAAGGTTGATATCAAATCGAAGGATTTTGTTTGGGTGACAAAGGACGAGTTGTTGGAATATTTCCCTGACCACAGCGATTACTTGACGAAAATGATCATAAGCTGATGCAAAGGGTCCACGATCCATTTCAACTCGAGATTTTTAAACAGTTTAATAACTTGGTTGTGGTATTTATGCTCGGAATCAAAACAAGGTGATCCGGTTGTTGAGTTCTGTGATCGATTTGGATGCGAACTTGCATGGATTTTGTGGGGTAGGATAGTTTCTTATTACAACATTAGAAAGTTTAAAACGTGGATTTTAGGTTCGATGAGAAAAGCGTTGAAACTTAGCAAACGGTACTCTTTGCAACTGTTTTAAGTCGTACATTTATGTGAATTCCGCTTGCCCGATTCGATTAAAACCCATTTATCACTACTCTATTGTATTTGATTCCGGAAACAACCATTCTACTTTTTGAAAATGTGAGATATATTGAGAACGTTGGATGTTTTGTTCGATTTTAGTAAACTTTACGAGGTGAATTATACATCAAAATACAATGAAGTTTATTCTGGTCTTTATTGTTTCTTGATACGAAAGTTTTGAAATTTTAAATTAACGTTTAGTTTTAGAAGTTTTTATTTTTTTCAAAAGGCAAATTGCATGAAAAGTTACGTTAATTTGATTCATATTTTGGGTAATGTATTTTCAAAATTTATATTTTGGTATCTAAGATGTAAATTTTTAAACATTTAAGTACCGGGATAACCGGTTGAACACTAATTTAAGACTAAAAAAAAAGTCTAATTTTAGATTAAAAAAAATTCATGTCACTAACCATATCAGCAAATAATACTGAGTTGGATACCATATCACTCGCCACATCAGCATGATAACCGGTTGATGCTTTAACCGGTTACCCGTGTACTTAAATGTTTAACACTACCAAAATAAAAGTTTTGAAATTACGTTATCCAAAATAAGAACCAAGTTAAAATACGTTACTTTTTTCATGCAATTTACCTATTCATTTAACCCAAGTTTAGATATTTGATCCATTTGACTAGTTGATAACCTTCTTTCACAAATCCAATAATTCGTATTATATATGAAAAAATACTGTTGTAAATGAAACCAACACGTATGAAAATACAACATATATTGTATTGTTTCATATGTGAAACTTTCAGAACTATTTTTTCCATGCACAAACCAGTTCTTAACATTTCACATATATATGAAATAACACTGCATTCTCACACGTGTTATGAAAACTTGTTTGTGGGTTTGTAGTTTATCGAGTTTGCAAATAATTTCGCGTCTCGAATAGTTGGCATTTTCGTGGCATCGAAATATAACGTAAATCGATCCATTTTATAGCAAATAGAGTAATATATACTTTCTTAACAATTTATGCCCAAATGAGACCTAGAAACTGCACCCTAATTACCTGAAATTTGAGCCATTTGGAGTGCTCTCAGAATTGTTAGGGGGTCGTTGCATTAGTAACTCCATAAGAGGAGTCGGTGGCGGCCTTGACCATGGTTTGTCGGCTCGAGCCGGTTGTCGTGGCGGTGCAAGGAGGCTCTCTTGAGCCACTGCAAGTTCCTTACCTTTTAAACTTCCCCTCATTCTCCCCAATGGCATTGGATCTCCCGGAAGTGAAGTTGTTGACGGTGGTCTTGTGGTCGGAGGCGGTTGAGATTGACCGAAAACACGGCGGTGCCACTGCTCTAAAGCTAAAGCAACGGAATGTGGGGAGTTCGCTGCCGATTGTGCTAGCTGAGATGGGGTGAACGAGTTTGTGGCTTGAGTGGTCCTATCGGTTTGAACCTGCTGTTGGGTCTCGGCAGATGGATGGTAAGGGTTGGTTGAACCATAAGTGGCTTGAGTTGTAGTCGAGTTTATAGGGTTCATATGGTGCGTGGTTTGTTGAACCGGAGGTGTATGGATGATGTTACACAATCCCTGTACAACACACATACCAAAGAGGATGAGCAACATGAAACCAAACCATCCCATTATATCACATCCATACAGATAAATGGTTACTATGGTGTTCCTTAGTTTTTCATTTTGTTGCGCTTTTCCCCTGAATCTGACCCTATATATAAGGGTTGGGTTCCGGTGAGAAGTGAAATTATGGTGGGAAGTGTAAGAAGAGATCTTCATCCCTTGATCAATCCTAATTGAATGTCAACACTAATGAGGTGCACCCGAGATGCACCGGATCAATTCCATTCTAAAGCGCAATTCATGCGTGGTCATGAGATTAAAAGTGATCACGGGTTCATATCTCTTCTTATGCTTCTCATCATAACTTCCCTTCTCATACGATCCTTTGCCGATATATATATATATATATATATATATATATATATGATTGGATACGTGTGAGAATGGAAGTTATGGTGAGAAGGGTAAGAAGGGATCTCCGCCCTTGGATCAATCCTAATTGAAAATCAAACTAATGCGATGCATCTCTGGAACAATTCCCATGATAAACGCAATCCATAGGTGGGGGGGAGATTAAAAGTGTTGAAGGGTCGGAATCCCTTTTTATGCTTCTCACCATAACTTCCATTCTCACACGATCCTTAGTCTATGTGTGTGTGTGTGTAACTATATATATATATATATACACACATATACATATAGGAAATGGTCCAAACGAGAACACTACTGTTTTGCAAAAATGGGAGAACACGTTTGTGCCTCTAAATTAATTAACATATAATAAAAATTAGAATAAAATGAAAATTAATTATTATTTATCCATAATTTTCTGTTATCCTAGATTTATCCTTATCTCTTAAATTTTATTATTATCATCAGAGACTTTTTATGTTGGTGCGTCCGTTGTCGATAATGATGTGATAATTATCTGATTTTGCCATGATAATAATGTGATAACGATTTGATAAGTAGAAGGCCTTTTATGATGTGATAATCATCTAATAATTATGTGGTTTTTGTTGTGATAGCGATGTGATAATGTTGTGATAATCGAAAATCAATAATGATCACGTCTACATTCATTGCTCTGTCGGTTCATTATGTGATTTTGCTGTTATAATAATGTGATAACTATTTGATGCCGGTTAACATATTGTATGTGATTTTAGAGATAAGGATGTCACTAAAACTACAGATAAATACGAAATCACGTGATTATCCTTAATTAATTATTTTCTTTTAATTTAAATTATGGGTTAAATAATTTTGAGGCCCATAAATGTTCTTGCATTATCGTAAAACAGGAGTGTTCTCGTTTGAACTCCACCTATATACATTCATACATACATATATATATATATATATATATATATATGGTCAGGTTTAACGGAAAACCGCAAAAAGATGAAAAACTGAAGAACACCTTAATAACCATTCATCCGTACGGTATGCACACATGCATAGAAACCAAGAAACAACTTCGATTACTTGTATGCACGTGTATATTGTTCAAATAAACGGTTACTAGGTGTTCCTCAATTTTTCATTTTTTTAAGCGTTTTCACCTAAACCTCCCTCTATATATATATATATATATGACATGTGTTGCAATTTAAGTCTTGTAAGAAAGGAGTCACCTGTGATTGCAATCGAGAATCCCCCAACTGTTGAATTTGAGCAGGAGAAGCTGCATCCCTTGTTACACTTAATTGCCACAAAGCGGAAGGACATTCTGCACTCATACCAATTGCTGAAACACTTGAATTATGCAAAGTGAAAGAAGAATTAGGAAGTGTGTCATTGGGTTCTTCGTGTGTAAGATATTCGGTGACATCAAGCACATGATTATTTTGGGTCATGGTATTCCTGTTTGATTCAGTGGTCGGGATCTCCGTTGCCATGATTGTCCAAGATCCATCTGCTGACATAATTACGTCACTAACATCCTCTGCCACCTCATTCAAGATCTAAACAAAATTAATCAAAAGATCAGTTAATGAGGCTGTTGGTAGTCTCGTAGAATATAAATGTAGCTAGGCTTTTATCATATATGGGTCTGTCACAAACTGTGCAGGTGTTTATGTGCATATATATACACTATATATAGGTAATATATGATAAATTTGATAAATACTCTTAAAACAACTTATTAAGCATAAAAAATGAAACTAAACGAAACCAACCGAACCCAGAATATCTTACTCGAAAGTAGGTTTTCCATAGAAACTACCTCTAGGATTGAGGTAACGTCTTCTTACATCCTACTTATGTGCATATATATATATATATATATATATATATATATATATATATATATATATATATATATATATATATATATATATATATA